TTACTCAGTAATTATAAGTTTATAAAAAGTGAAATCCACTAGCAGTCCCTTGAGTTATTTCAGAAACATATTTGATTAATATCTTTCTCTCTATCTCTCTTTTTAATATGTTCTTTGCCAAATGTATTCTTTTTTATTCAGTATTCTCCCCTGCTCAGTCTCTTTGCTTTTTGCTCTGCTTGGCCAAAAAAAAAATATCCTAACAACAAACTGAAAAACCCTACAACTTTTATTTTATTCAGTGACCTTATTCCAGTATGCAGCTTTTTGGTTTTTTTTCCTTTTCTTTGTTGCTTCCTTTTTAAAATTTAACCTTGTGTCTTTTTTGTTCTTCCTTCCTGTTAGTTTGCTGTGGGCAACTGCTAAAGGAAACTGTTGCAGGCAAGACAAAACTTGGAGAACTTGTTAAGCCTTATATCGACAGTGGATACCCAGGTAGGGCAGATTGTTGTTGCGTTATACTGGAGTTACAAATCTGTGGCAAAAAAATACATCGTGAGTGACTTTTTCTTGGTCGGATTCTAATCTGCGTGATATCGGAGTAATCTAGAAGTTGATTAATTCCATTCGTTACATGTGATTTTAGCACTGCGTAACAGAAAAGAGATTTCTAAGCTCTTCGATATCTTTGAAGTAAATAGTTCACTGTTGCAGTGAAATTCAGATTTTTGGTACACATTTCAAAATTTGATTTCCATGTTTTTATTTCTAAATCAAAATCAGAGTTCTGATACAGAGGGGTAATTTTAAAATGTTTTTGACTGTTATTTGAAGCACAGAATCATGTTCCACTTTTATTTCAAGTGGGCCATACTAAAGATTCTGCTTTTATATGTAGCTTTTGACCTGTAGAATGCGAGTGTAGATTCCTCTAACGCAAATTGTTTAAACTGAAAAATAAAGTTTCTTTGCACTTCATTTCTATTCGCATTTTTGGTTGTAGGAGGGGACTACCGCAAAGAATGTCTAAGCACACTTTGCTTTTGAAAGGCTCTGCAGTGATGGCAGATAAATCATAAATTCTGTAAGCTCCTTAGGGCAGCAGCTTAAACTTACATGTTTGTTAGCTGTCTTGCACAAGGATAGCTCCCTGTGTGTGGTGGGTATTAAAAAGCAGACAAGATCTGTAGTTCTAAAGGATAAGTTGTATTTCAGTAGAGTGGAAGAATGTTTATTTTGCCAAATTACAATGGCCTGGAAGAGGAACTTTCAGTCCTATTTCTGGCAATAGGCCAGATGGTTCCCAGTGATACAAATACAAGGAGACGATCTTGTGGAAGATTGAGAAATCTCAGTTAAGCTTCAGTATTAATGGAATTTTGAGCAACAGTCCCTGAGCAAAGAGAAATTTTCATTGTCTTTTCTTTTTGGCAAGGAAAGTCATTTGGTGAGATGGAAAGCTTGAAAGTGTCCCCCCCCTTTTTTTTTTCACAATAGCTTAATTCTGAGACTGAATTACACAGATCTGAAACATGAGCCTATAAAATTAACTGAGGTTCCCCTGATACCAGACCAAGAGATTCAGTGCTTTTCTAAGCATTTCCAAAAGACCTTTGGCAGCCCACAGCTCTGGGTATTCTATCCCTCTCTCAGTCACATTATCAAGCCACAAGGTAATACGGTTTAACTCTAAACTTCATCTCTAGTGAATGGATTGCATTTCTTTGTAATACAGTAACTCAATTAGTTCAGTACGTTATTTTTTTGTGGCAGCCACCATATTGCTGGAAGCTGATGTGGGAATGATGGGAATGGAAACTATGGATCTCTACAGCCTGAAAGACAGAAGCTGGGTCCTCTGGAACATAGGCACAGAGATCTAGGAGGGGATTTTCTGATTTAGAGATACTGCTAATCAGAATGGTCACTTAGCTCTAAGGCAAGAGATCTTAGCATATATTAATCACAACATATCCTAGGTCTTCATGTATGGAAATAGTTTCTGTGTGTGTATGGTCCAACTGACCTGCATGTGGCTACTGGTGTGTGCAGCCTAACTCATGTGCAGAGATCATTTTAAGCTCTGGTCCTGTGGTTTTTTTGGGTATCCATTAATTTCAGAATCTTATGTGTATACTGTAATTTCTCACTTTCTTCTCATCTCTGTAAATACTTTGCTTTCTAAATTTCAGTTGTGGCTGAGAGAGGAGTTTGGCTGATGTATTTATTCAAAGATAGGTCCTTTAAGAGCTTTCCTAAAATGCTCTTTGTGTATTTTATGAACTTCATCTTAAACATGGAAGTTCCTTAAAAGAGATACCAAGCATTCCCAGTAGAGTAAAATAATTGCACAGATTGTAATTTTTAGCCAGTCCTAAAAATATGCTCCAAGGGAGCTGCTTTCATTTCCAGAAAATGAAATTGAAGTTGTAATTCCTTTCTTCCTCTAAATCGGAAATTATTTCAGATTTAGATTATTTTTTTTAATATAGCACGCGAGGATAAAGCTGTACAACGCTTCTGAATGTTAATAGGAACCATAACTGTATTTCTGTGCATTGTGCTAAAAAACTCTTCCTTGGTTTTTGCTTATATGCACGTATATTTCATTTGGTGGGACATACTACAGAATTAAGGACTGAATAAAAATAAATATTATATAGCAATACCAGAAATAATAAGTTCTGTCACTTTGCTAATCCTCCTCTCCCAGGGATAACAAAGAATGAATTTACATTAGTAAACACTAACAAGAATTCATTACTGCTCTCACAAGAGGCTTGGAGAAAATGAAAGAACATTGTGTACTGAGGAGGAAAGACGGGCAAAGAATCCTTGCTGTCTTGCTACAGATTAACAACCAGGTTAATATGGAGGAAAGAGTCTTATGCTATTATTGACTAGGTTCAGCTTCAAGAAAATCACATTGAATAGAGTTTGTTTAGTCAATAGCAGACTGGAAGAGCAATTAGAACTTCAAAATTCTCATTGCATTTCTAGTTGTGTACCAAGTAATCTTAGTTGTTCTTTTGGGCAATGAATCGTGTGAGTGGTATTATCACAGAATGCCCTGGAACCAAAGACAGACCATGAGAAATGTTGTGCTCAAGTCATTACTAATCAAAATGAAACTGGTGCCATAAAATCTTGAGGCACACCTCATATATTCTTAAAATGCTTGCCCTGGGGACTCATCTCAGTGTGGTTTCCCTTTTTGTGGACACAACTGATGACATACAATTAGTCATTCAAGATATGTCAACAGGGTCTGTTGTGGTGTCAGAAAAAGGCTCAAAAACCAGCTTATTCAGAGCTAACTCATTACTGAGTTATTGAGGCTGTCCACTGCCTATTCTGCTCTAGTTCTGGTTGACTGACTCAAATGTCGTCTTGGTTTTAGGATTCACAAACATTCTTTGTATTGTTTTTTCCTGTACTGCTGCTTCATGTATACAACATGTATTTCAAGAACAGCCTAGACAATTCTATTATTCACCCCAGAAGGCAACTTGGTGTATTCCCATTTTTTAGTATTTTCTAGTGTTCACTGTCTCATAAAGACCTTCTCTCCTGCTTTATCGAACCTCTCTATTTTGTATACGGTGTTTTATTTTGCTTAATGAAGGTAGCATGGACATTTTTGAGCCCATTAATTTTTTAATTCCCAGGACATTCTAGTCTACAGTTGGTGCACACTAGATACTGAAAAATGCATTTTCAGTGAAAAGTTCAGCAACCTGCCTGCTTTTTGTCTGTCATAAACATAAGAGTTGTTCTGTGGACGACCAGTCTGAAATGCACAGACTTTTCCTCTAGGATATTGTGGTTTTCACCGAATACTGGGTAATTATTGCTAACTGTACTCTGGGCAGAAAATTACCAGCACTGGAGTCTGAGACCAGTCTGCTGGTCACTAGCTCCAGTGAGTTAAATCTTGCTCAGTAATGCTAAATTTAGCACATACCGTTTGCTTGGGCACCCTAGGAAAACTTCCATGTGGAGTAAGAGGTGAGCGCAGTGGCCAGAACCCCTCCACAGGCAGCAAGACAACTCACGTAAATTAATTAATTCACTT